TATTAATATCGATAATTCAGATTTGATTAGAGAGAAGATTAATATTTTGCCAAAATGCTAATTAACAAATGATACTTATGAAAATTTTTCATATAGTAGCTTTTAAAAGGAATTTAAAAGTTCTATAGCTGCGCAGCACTGCAATTTCCAAAATCTATCAACTTTTGCTTTGTTTATTTTAGCAGTATTTACCAACTTTAGAAATGCTACTGTAAAACTTCCAGATGGCTATAGGTAATTGTCCAGTATTTTTTTGGGATGGATTTTATATTACCAATAGTTTTTTTCCATTTTGGATGCATCAGAGACAAGGTGTAAATTATTATTAGCAGTCTCTATACTTTCGACAAAGAGGAAATTATCAGTCCTTTTTATATGATAGTTTGATTATTTATTTCAGTTTTTTTTGTTTTTTCTTCAATATTTTTACTTTATTTATTCTATTTCTTAGCACAATTGACTGTAACCAATGCATTTAGAGCATTCAAACAATAATATCTACTTAAAGGACTTATAATGTTTGAACAGATTGCCTAATGATGATGTTGCTTCAATACATCTAATATCTTTACTAATACTTTCTTTCAGATAAGTAGCTCACTCATATAAAGATTAAAATACTTGGATATTCAGATAAAAGTTGCCAACTATTTTAAGTATATTATTATGAAAAGCAGGTCTACAATTTTCTGTAAATTTTATACATCGAGTTAATCCTTTAGTATTTTAATTAAATAAATAAATAAACAGACGAGTAGGTTAATTATTTTCAAAAAAGTTTGGTATGAGGAAATAAACCAAAATTTAAATCAATGCAGCAATGTTAATAGTTACTTATATTAAGTCTCATTATTAAATATCCTTGTTAATTTAACTAAGTGTCTATTTCATTTAAAGGGATATTAGTTCTGTGGTAGAGTATTTGTTTTTCTTTATATCAGCTTATTTAAAATATAGTAGTGACTACAGCTGGAATAAGGTAAACAAAGACTACAGTTTTCAATCAAATTCTATTCAAAGTTGAATTTAGAATGTATATTTACTTATTTCTTGTTCCTTTTAAAATTTAAATGCTCTATTGTAACTTTAAGTTTGAACTCAGTGAAAATATCAATAATATATATATATTAGTACCTGATAAATCCTCGAATGAAGGTGTGTGGGCGCATCAAAACTATTATTAAATACAAAGATCTAAAAATAACAATATTATACTAGTATTCTAATGAAAAATCCAATAGTAATAAATAAGTATGATTTCAAAAGGAAATTGCATAAATTTTATGCAAGCAAAGCTAATTGGAATTAATCCTTTATTATCTATATTTTAATTGAATTGCAGTTTTTTAATTATTTTTAATCTGATTTGCTTAAAGCGAAAAATTAATTCACAGCTTAAAAATGAGAATGTCTAAAATTTCATGATATTTAATTAAATGGATAATCTTAATTGATTTTCCAAAAATAAATTAAGTCTTAAGTGTATGAAAATTAGCAAGGGTCAACTAATTTATTGCTTGATGACAATTTAGAATGTGGGCTTTTGGATTATTGAATCTTGTAAAATTTCCCCATAAAAACAACAATTACTCTTGCTTCAAAGAAATTCTATTATTATAATATACTATTATTTTTAGAATTCAATAATCTTAAAGAAATTTCATTCAATATATAAAATTATCATAAGAAAATAGGGTAAAACAAATTACTTTTCTTCATCATTATTTATGGTTTAAGTTAATATTAACATTCATGAAGAGATTCTTAGAAGAGTTATCTATCTAAGAGATAGAGCGTGGTAAAGATTCAAGTTCAAGTCTTCGGGATGACTTTTTTTTTAATTTTTAAATATAATTAATTATTTCAAGAAAAATTATATTTAAAATAATCATCGTCAATTTACAAAATAGTATTAGTAACTACACAAATAACAACCTCCATAATTTATTCCATAAT